AAGGAAGGAAGGTCACAATCATACAATGCTAGGCTATGCACCTACAAATAATGCAGAGCAAGAGAAGAAGGAGGATTTCTACAGACAACTTCAATCAACACTGGACAAGACACCACTCAAGTTGGAAACATCAAAATCCATTCTAATGGGCGACATGAATGCCAAACTGGGAGTGGACAACACAGGAAGAGAACTAACCATGGGTCGAGAAGCGCTCGGTGAGGTGATGAGCGAGAATGGAGAATTGTTTGCAGAATGCTGTGCATTCAACGATTTGGTGATTGGAGGCCAGGCAGTGTGTTCAAGCACAAGGGTATGCACAAAGCAAGCGACATGGATTTCGTCAGATGGACACACTAAAAATCAAATCGACTTTATCTCAATCTCAAGAAAATGGAGACGCAGTCTACTTAACACAAGGTCAAGAAGAGAAGTAGATGTAGGTTCAGACCACTATCTAGTGCAAGGAACCTACCTTCAAAATCAAGTTAAAAGCCTTCAAGGAAGTTGGTGATGATAGACCACAGTTCAAGTACAACACTCGGAAACTGAAGGATGAAACTACAAAGGAAATCTTCACTTCAGCCATCAAGACAAAATGAGAGATATCGAGGGACACACCTGAATAAACCTGTGTGGAAGAACACTGGAAGTCTTTGAAAGAGATGTGGAAAGAAACCTGCACAGTTGTATTAGGAAGGAGGAAGAAAGAAGACAAGGAATGGATGTCGACGGATACCTGGGAGCTGATAGAGGAGAGGAGGATGGTGAAGCAGAAGATAAACCAGTGCATGGATGCTCAACGACAAGAGGAACTGAGTACAATGTATAAAACACTACGCTGGACAAGGAAGTGAGGAAGAGTGTGTGGAGAGACAAAAGACACTTCCACAGCACACTGGCAAGTGAAGCACAACAGGCTGCAGTAAGAGAGACAGAGACCTGACAACACTGTATCAAATAACCAGGTTGCTATCTGGGAAGAGGTCGACACAGATGAAACCAATAAAAGATGATGTCGGAAATTTAATTACAAAAGAAAGAAACAAAGGAAACGATGGGCTGACCACTTCAACCACCACCACCATCTGCACTTCGTTCAGAAATACCACCTGCAGCCGACTCACACAACTACAAGTGAACATAAATCCTCCAACAAAAATGGAAGTCTTGAACGTCATAAAGCTACTGAAATGTGGGAAGGCAGCAGGACCAGATGGAATCCCGCCAGAAGCACTGAGAGCAGACGCAGAGACAACAGCCGACATGCTCACACCACACCACTATTGCAGAAGGTGTGGAAGGAAGAGAAGGTACCTGACCACTGATTGGAAGAAGGGTTACCTTGTCAAACTGCCGAAGAAGGGAGACCTCAGTGTTTGCAAGAACTGGCACGGAATCACTCTCCTGTTCACCCAGAGCAAGCAAAATATTATGCCGCATCATCCTAGAGAGGCTAAAGGATGCATTGGATTCAAAACTACCACCAGAATAGGCTGGCTGGATTCAGTAAGTACAAATCATGTGCGGACCAAATTGCATCACTTTGCATCATCATAGAACAGAGTACAGATTGGCAGTCAACTCTCCACCTCAACCTCATCGACTTTGAGAAGGCCTTTGACAGCGTCGACTGAGAGGTAATTTGGAAACCGCTTCATTACTACGGAGTACTGAAAACCCTTATCAGCCTCATTCAACAACTATATGAAGACGCCACATGCCAAGTACTTCACAATGGGAAGCTCAGTGATGCTTTTGAAGTGAGGACAGGAAGGAGTGAAACAAGGTTGCCTACTATCACCCATGATATTCTTGATTGTGGTGGACTGGATCATGCAGCAAACAGTGAGGAGCGAGAAGAGGGGGATACGCTGACTGGACTGCGGAAAAGAACCTAGAAGATCTGCATTTCACCAACGATGACTTGTGCCTGATGTCACACAAACTTGAATATCTACAGACGAAAACTAACAAGTTGGGAGAAGAGGCAGGGCAGGGCAGCGAAGACGGGACTTCAGGTTAATATAGAGAAGACAGAGGTGATGAAGATACCCAACCAACGCCACCACCACCATCAACAATCTCCAATCACCACCAACGGGAGAAACTGAAAGGAAGTAACCTCCTTAACCTATCTAGGAAGCACCGTTTCAACTACAGGCGGGACAGACGAGGATTTCAAAGCCAGCCAGGATCGAAAAAAGCAAGACTGGTGTTCATTAGCCTCGACTGAAATCCCCATGTGAAGCGACGAGTTGGTCGTCCGAGGGTGACATGGAGGAGAGCGTATGAGGAGGAAATGGGAGCTTCTGGGCTGTCATGGAGCCAGATTCAAAAGATTTCAGAGAACAGAGGTCACTGGAGACGTGCTACTGAAGCCCTGTGTTCCATTAGGAATCCAAGCGACTAATAATAATAATAATAATAATAATTATATATATATATATATATATATATATATATATATATATATATATATATATATATATATATATAGCCTCATGAATGGACCACCCAGTATGCAGTACACAACACGACTAAGAACATGCTTCTGTGCTACATATATTCTCCACCATATATTTCTATATATATCTGGAATCAAAATAGCAGATAAAAGTGGTGACGTAAAGGTAAAAAATATTAATTAACAATATCAAGTAGATGCGTGAAAGGGAAGACATAGTGGGAAAATCAGCATTTAAAAAATCATATGAATCAATCTGTAATATAAAATTGAAACACAGGCAATATCAAGGCATCTGTGCAGGAGCTGATATACCGTTACAAACAGAGCAATTCAGTTCAGCCAATGACTAGAGGAAATAGGGAACAACATAAAACTATACCTGCCGCACAAGAAGTGGCTATGGTGACTCAGGGACCTAGTAGATAACGTTCTGGTGTTTGAAGTCTTCTGCCCTTGGTTCGAGTCCCGGTGGAAACAACATTCACTGGGAGGCAGGTTTATCTAGCTGACGAGTCCCAAGTAGGACGGATCGCATACTTCGGATTCGGTTGCTAGCCCCTTTCCGTCAATAATGTATGAATCAAGGTTTAGTTACTCCATTCTAAATAGAATAGTTGCCAGTAGCTTATTTATTATTATTATATTAAATATTACATTCTTAGGAGTCATTACAATATAAACTCAAAATGCAATCCTCTATCTCCAAAGAGAAATAACAGTTTATCTGTATTTGTTGACGTTTTCAATGTGTCCAGCAAACCAATTCATTTCATTGTTTTTAATTAACGTTCATTCTTTGTTAGTGAATTATTTTCTTTACCTTTAATTCCTGTATTGGGTGGGAATTTCTTCCAAACAGTGAAAAGGTTTATTACTGTTATGCATCTGTTATACAGTGACGTACTGAACCTCATTTTATATAATTCTTCACAAACAACTTATGTACTTTTTCTCTAACGTCCATGAACCCACTTATTATTCTTATCTCCCTTAAGAGACTACATCTTATTTTAACGTTAATGGGGATTTCATGTTTACGGTAGCATTCATCCCGAACTGACATCAGTTGATGGTGAGTTCTACGCTGAACATAAAATCCTTATTAACCTTTAAATATACTACTGCATAATGCTCATTAACCTCGCCTGGTTAACTAGTTTACTAGTTACTAGCCGGTCCTAAGCCCGGGTAAAGAGGGAAGGTTGGGCATAGGGCTAGCAACCCTACCCCGTAAAACAAATCTAACCGCTAAAGAAACTTCAAAGCACAAACAAAATATAAAAAATGAAAACAAACTTATTCCCCGCTGGAATCGGAGAGGCGAAATGACGCCAGTTGGTGAAAGCCTTCGGGAAGCCAATCGGCCGATGTGTCTTCTCTCTCTCGATGAAAGCGAAAGTAAGTGTGGGGACATGGAATGGCCGCACGATGTTTGAACCCAGCAAGGCAGCCCAGATTGCAAACGAGATGAGAAGGTATCACATCGAAGTGCTTGGGATTTGCGAAAGCAGATGGAATGGGAGTGGACTCTCCAAACTGTCAACTGGAGAATCAATAATCTACTCCGGTCACCCAGACGCCAACCACGAGCACACTGAGGGAGTGGCTATCATGATGTCCTCAAGAGCATCGAAGGCTCTCATGCAGTGGGAACCAATCTCCTCCAGGATCATGACAGCAAGATTCAACTCAAAAGGAAGAAAGGTCACAATCATACAATGTTATGCACCTACAAATAATGCAGAGCAAGAGAAAAAGGAGGAATTCTACAGACAACTTCAATCAACACTGGACAAGACGTCAGTTGGCGATATCAAAATTCTAATGGGCGACATGAATGCCAAACTGGGAGGGGACAACACAGGAAGAGAACTAACCATGGGTCGAGAGGCGCTAGGTGAAATGAATGAGAATGGAGAATTGTTTGCAGAATTCTGCGCATTCAACGATTTGGTGATTGGAGGCAGTGTGTTCAGGCACAAAGATATCCACAAAGCGACATGGATTTCACCAGATGGACACACTAAAAATCAAATCGACTTTATCTCAATCTCAAGAAAATGGAGACGCAGTCTACTTAACACAAGGTCAAGAAGAGGAGCAGATGTAGGTTCAGACCACTACCTAGTGCAAGGAACCTTCCAAATCAAGTTAAAGGCCTTCAAGGAAGCTGGTGATAGACCTCAACCCAAGTACAACACTCGGAAACTGAAGGATGAAACTACAAAGGAGATCTTCATGGCAGCCATCAAGACAAAATGGGAGACGTCGAGGGACATCCCTGAAGAAACCTGTGTGGAAGAACACTGGAAGTCTTTGAAAGCTATGTGGAAAGAAACCTGCACAGTAGTATTAGGAAGGAAGAAGAAAGAAGACAAGGAATGGATCTCGACGGATACCTGGAAGCTGATAGAGGAGAGGAGGATGGTGAAGCAGAAGATAAACCAGTGCAAGGATGCTCAACGACAAGAGGAACTGAGCACAATGTATAAAACACTGGACAAAGAAGTGAAGAAGAGTGCACGCAAAGACAAAAGACACTTCTACGAAACACTGGCAAGTGAAGCAGAACAGGCTGCAGGTAAGAGAGACCTGACGACATTGTATCAAATAACCAGGTTGCTATCAGGGAATAGACCAACACAGATGAAACCAATAAAAGATGAAGAAGGAAATTTAATTACGAAAGAAGAGAAACAGAGGAAACAATGGGCCAACCACTTCAAGAAGCTCTTGAATCGACCACCACCTGCACTTCGTCCAGAAATACCACCTGCAGCCGCTGAACTACAAGTGAACATTAATCCCCCAACGAAAATGGAAGTCCTGAACGCCATAAAGCTACTGAAATGCGGGAAAGCAGCAGGACCAGATGGAATACCGCCAGAAGCACTGAGAACAGATGCAGAGACAACAGCGGCCATGCTCACACCACTATTGCAGAAGGTGTGGAAGGAAGAGAAGGTACCTGACGATTGGAAGAAGGGTTACCTTGTCAAACTGCCGAAGAAGGGAGACCTCAGTGCTTGCAAGAACTGGCGCGGAATCACTCTCCTGTCCACCCCAAGTAAAATATTAAGCCGCATCATCCTGGAGAGGCTAAGGGATGCACTGGATTCAAAACTACGACCGGAACAGGCAGGCTTCAGGAAGTACAAATCATGTGCAGACCAAATTGCAACGCTTCGTATCATCATAGAACAGAGCATAGAATGGCAATCACCTCTCCACCTCAACTTCATCGACTTTGAGAAGGCCTTTGACAGCGTCGACCGAGAAGTAATTTGGAAACTGCTTCAATACTACGGAGTACCGCAAACCTTTATCCGCCTCATTCAACAACTATATGAAGATGCTACATGCCAAGTAATCCACAATGGGAAGCTCAGTGATGCCTTTGAAGTGAAGACAGGAGTGAAACAAGGTTGCCTACTATCCCCCATGATATTCTTGATTGTGGTGGACTGGATCATGCAGCAAACAGTAGGCAGCGAGAAGAGGGGGATACACTGGACGACGGAAAAGAACCTAGAAGACTTGGATTTCGCCGATGACTTATGCCTAATGTCACATAAACTTGAAGATCTGCAGGCAAAAACTAACAAGTTGATAGAAGAGGCAGCGAAGACGGGACTTCAGGTGAATATAGAGAAGACAGAAGTGATGAAGATACCGCACCACCACCATCAACAACAACAACAACAAACTCCAATCACCGTCAACGGGAGAAACTTAAAGGAAGTAACCTCCTTCACTTATCTAGGAAGCACTGTTTCAACTACAGGCGGGACAGACGAGGACGTCAAAGTCAGAATCGGAAAAGCAAGACAGGCGTTCATCAGCCTGAAACCAGTGTGGAGATCTTCTGCACTCAGCATGCGGAACAAGATACGGATTTTCAACACCAACGTAAAGTCAGTGCTCTTGTATGGCTCAGAGACTTGGCGCGTCACGAAAGGTATTTCCAATAAACTACAGACATTCATCAACAACTGCTTACGCTCGCTGCTGAAGATCAGATGGCCAGAAAAAATAAGCAACAAGGAACTCTGGGAACGAACCAACCAAGAACCTATCACGCAACAAATATGCAGGAAGAAGTGGAGATGGATTGGCCATGCACTGAGAAGGCCGACTGAGGACATCACGCGTCAGGCCCTCGAGTGGAATCCCCATGGGAAGCGACGAGTTGGACGTCCGAGGGTGACATGGAGGAGGTCGTGCGAGGAGGAAATGAGAGCTTCTGGGCTGTCGTGGGACCAGGTTCAAAAGATCTCAGAGAACAGAGGTCACTGGAGGCGTGCTGCTGAAGCCCTATGTTCCACTAGGAACCCAAGGGACTAATAATAATAATAATAATGCTCATTAGTAAGATGCTAAGAGATGGATTTCCCGAAGTTCGAACGAGAAGCCGTGACCTGTGGAGTTATCCATTTGGAAGCAAAGCGGATGTTAACTGAAGGTTATAACTGATTATCACGCTATGTCGCGAACTGACCAAAGTAGGAAACTGTGGACCATAGAAGTAAGACCCAGTAGCTGAATGGTTAACGCTTCCGCCGCGAAACCTTAATGCAGTGATTCCGATCCCTCTCAGGACAGTGGGTGCGTATTTCTGAGGAGTCACACATTGGGCGGAAGCGGCTGTCAAGTTCTCTAAGGTTCCCAATAGTTTTCCAACTAATGTCAGTCTGTGATGCATGCTACCTCATGCATTTTACTTGTTTTCCTTATTCAAGATATTTGTGTGCATATTTCCATCCAATACGGCATGGCCTACATCAGGAAGCGCGTAAAGTATCGCGCCTAATTTTTATCAATTCATTATATATGATTTCTAAACTTTTGTTGGTTGTTTTCGGGCTCTGCATGAAGCTCTAAATACCAACTATGATCCTAAAGTTTAAGAAATACGTGGAATGGAAGTGCTTTACAAAGTTAACAGATCATAATTATTTGTTAGAGGCCCTTTGGTTGAAATATGAGTCAGTAATCCCTCGCATTTCTTACCAATTACTGAAAAAAGTATCAGACTAAACAAACAGTGCCGTCTTTATTACTTTTCTGTCTTCAGTTATATGATCAGATTGGTCGAAACACTGTTCAGTACTTACTAGTCACCTAATTCATGTCAGAATTTCTAATGAGATGCTGTGATTTGTGAATTCAAAATAGTTGGGGTATGGAGAATAAACGCCTGTCGATGACACTGGATTTTAGTCTCATTTTATCGCCGACAGACAGCAGTAGTTAGTGGAGCAGTAGGTATCAACTCAGTTGTTGAAAGTTGACGTGTTTGACGCAAATCATGATGTTCCCAGACTCAACTTTTTGTTCGCTCGTGGCTGCGCACTACTGAGAAGCATAATTTAGGATGAGACAGCTGTCCATAACCATCATATATTGCAGTGATGTTCCAACTAATATCATTTAATGATGAATACTACCCATGAGAACTGAAATCAACCTGTTTTTACAAGGTGAACTTGATTTGCTTTGAATAATCATAGCATTCTCAACCAAGTTCAAATGATAACATCATGATCTAAATGGTACTAATGTAATCCTTTTGCATAGTGCAGTCTACTCCTAGATTTCTGCGAAATCGTACTTCTGCAATCGGTCGACTTAATTTTTCATATGGATAGAATGTCTGCCTCTGTTCGCTTTTCAGGCTTTTCAAAGTACAAATGACTGAACTTATAGTTATTCTCTTAAGCTTAAAACAATCATTTTTTGCTAGACAAAATTATTAATAATTGGTGTAGACTTTGTTCTGACCAAAATATTTTTCAATCAGATTTATTAAAATATAATAAAATGCTTTCTTACGTTTCTATTTTTAAGCTGTGTTGTGATTTAAAATTTAGAATACAAACAGTTAAATAAATTTATGTTATTCTAATCCAACAGATGTTCATGCTATTTCCATAAGCAAGTGTTTTGCGGTGTAACTCTTTAGTGAAAATAGGTGAGTTTTAGTGGCTACTACTAGTGATCAAGAAAGAAACAATACACGCTTAAGTGTTTACCGTTGCTCAGGTTAAGCATAAATCCAATGGGTTCTTATCTGCATCATGATGACAGTGAAATTTATTGAAAAGTTGTAAAATATGCTGAAACAGATATTCAGCATTTTTATTGGCTGTTACGAAGGATTCCAATCTGTTTTCCTTTTTCTACTAAAAATTTCTGACTATATTCAGAAACTGTTGAACATTATGCTGCAAAAGTTCAAACTGTATTATTTCCAAAAAACGATCGCTTTTGAACAAATTTTATTACCCCGAACAAATTTCTTTCGCGGTTTTCCTTTCCCCTGATTTCTGTTCTGATAACCCAAAGTCCTTATGCACAAGATTATCCTAAAATTAATCTTTAATCTATTTTGTTTTACTTTGTTAAATATGCAGTTTAGTCAAAACATATGAAAATTTCAAAATCAAGAAAATAATTGTAGAATAGGAAGGGAAAATAACTTTTTGACCTGCATTGTAAAAATGAAAAAAAGTTGTTCCGTTGTTCTGTGTGGTTTGTTTGCCTTCTGGAAAGAAAGCTGTCAGATGGAAGAATTATCGGCTATTGTGATTCGTTTTATCGTACATATAGATATATAGAAAACACACAAAGGTAATCAAAGATATTTTTCTAAATTGGTTTTTTGCATAAATTGTACATTCTCTTCCATTAATTCTTAAGATTAAGGAGGACTATAGTGTTAAACATACGGTCACCTGGTAAGTAATTAGTATTTAACATATTCTGTAAATTCGTCAGTACTGCGATCTTCGACACCTGGGTCTTCATCACAAACCATTGTTGAAATTTTTAGTATTTCGAAAAAAATTTGTTTTTGCGCAGAAAACTAATAATATATTTCAAGTTCCACTTAGAGTTCGATGTAGGTCAATAAGCGTTTTTATTCATGATAGAAGTATTAGTGAGATTTGTGTATAAAAAATCTTAAGAGTGTTTTCAAATTTACATAAATAGGCTGTTTCATAAGATGGCTTGAGTATGCATTCATTATAGGAGTGGTAAGCTTAAAATCTTGATATGGAATGCTTTTATGCAGAAATCAGACTTGGGATACCTTGAGAAGTTTAACGGTGTGCTGACTGCACAAAGTGTATTGCTCATAGGATTCACTGTACATCAAAATAATTTTTTACGAATGAAGTGGAATACATAAAAGAATTTGTGTATTTTTACTTACGGTGGTAATTGTGGTTATTAACAAAGTGGTGAGGATTTAGTTAGTAACACACTAAATTAAATTAGCTTGGGCACAAAATATCTATATGCCAAATAAAAATCAAGTTTTTCTATAAGTGGTAGTCTGTGCAACAGTGTAATGCATTGGAGGTTCTTTACTAGCATATCCGATCGATAAAGGAAACCATAGATTCTAACCCAATTCATAATGTGGTATATTGTGTTTCACTGGTTTTTGCTTTCTTCAAGTAGCTGAAACAGTGAATATGGAAGTAAAGAAACTTGAACTTTATGTTCATAAAGAACGTTTTCAAGCCTTACTCTTCAGCTGGCTTTTCACCAATTGAATAGCCCCAATGTTTCTGTTTTGTTTCGACGTCTTTTTTTCTCCTCGTTTGTTTTCTACTTTTTAAAACATAATTTTAAGCAGATTTTCCTATTTCTCCGCTCTTATTCTTACAAACCTTTAAATCCTGTCTAACCATTTTTCTACAGTTCGCTTATCGAACTTACTTATTATCACACCATTTAAACCATTTTAGACTTTGACCATTATATGAAGAAATATTCACCGTACTTCTACCCTTCCTGTAAATGCATTTCATTCTTGGTATTAATCATTAAACTTGCACATTGCACCTTTAAAATTCTTAATCGATTTTCCTTCACCAAGTTAAACCTATTAGTCATCAATCATTTGACATTTATAGTTTACGTTCAACTTATTACTG